AAAAAATTTTTTATTTAAGGTGAACTTTGTGATATCTATGTTCATAGTAAGCATGGAGTGGCCCCCCATTTTTTACTAGATGCAGTTTTTAGGATAGTTGTCTATTTTTTTCTTTTTTCTTTAAGATGAGATTTTTCAAAGGAAAAAGTGTAGCTAAGACATGCCTACTACTGAGACCTCTGCACGGATGATAACACAACTTCTTTATTGGAAAGCTTTGTAGTCAACAGTAATCCCAACCCTTTCCTACCTTCCTCTAAATGCTTCCTTTAATATTTATTGCAGGGGTATACCCCGGGGAATTTATGTAGAAGTATAGAAGTTTATGCTGTCAGCTTTTTTGGTGATAATGACGAATCTCATGCCTTTTAAGTGTTAGAATAGGTTTTCTGGGAGAAGCTTATAACTTGAAGTGCAGTGTATTCTTTGATGTTAGAAGTGTATGTTTTTATCTCATCCCAATAAAAAAAATACAGTAAAGGAGTTTAGATTATTTTCTGTTTTATAAGATTTGTATTTATGCCTTCCTCTTTATTCCTTTTATCTTTTCCTTCGTTTTCTTATTTGTACTGGTAGCTGTCTGGAACAACAATGTTACTGGGGTATGGAATGTAGTCAGAGATATGGATATATCTAGGGTAACATTGCAATTTTTTGCTTAATTTCTTGCTGATTTCATGAATGCCTTAAAATTCATCATGAGCATGTCATTACTATTTATGATATGAAAACCAAACAATACTTCTCATCATAGGGTCACTAGTTGACAAAAACCTCACCAAAAGTTTTTTCCCCAGAACATTCATTTATTCTCTATGATTGCACTAGGTGACCTTACGGTTTCTCTCAACTCTAAGAATCTGTGGCAATTTCTGTCATTGGACTTCTTTTTCTCTTCTTGATATGACCTAAAAGACATAAAAAAATTTAGAGAATGCAAAATAGGTGTAGTTCAGTCAAGGAAGAAGAAATCATCCATCTCAGATCTCTTTTATCATGTAAATAAATAGGTACACCTCCAATTCGACTTGGATTTTTTGAGATTAGTCAATTTTCCAGAATATAAAAGGAGACTCATCTTGTGAAGTACCAACGTTGCTGGTTTCATTTTCTTAGGCAAGGCAAATTATTTTGATAACATCCCATCTTACCTTTTAGCACAGCAAGAGATTTTTGTTGAGAACTATGAAAATTTGAGAAAGTAGGCTTTTGACAGCCCCTGCACAACTCTTTAAAAATGTGTTATTTGTTATTTTTAAGTATCAGTCGTACATCTCACAATTGTTTTTAAAAAGCTTTTTTTCTTTTTTTTCATACATACAACTTTGCTTGCTGCTAAAAAGCAGGTTAACCACTTTAAGAGGAGACTAGAAGAGACTAGCTCATAGGGACTCTTATTTTAAGGTTTACCACTTTTATCTCTGTAAGTTGCATTTTGTTTAGGTAAGTTGATCAAGCGGGGATCTGAAGATAAACATCAAAGATGTGCTTAAATTAATGGTGATAATTAGATGTACCACATTTCATAATAAAGTCCTTTCAGATAGCACACAGCACCAACTGGCTTGGGTGGTTGTTAGTTTCATTATTAGATATTAGAAAACAGAACTTTAGGAAGGTTGTGTGATTCTCTCGTTTTATCTCTGCGATTTGATAAGAAGAGAACCTTGTTCCTTACCAAGCCTGTGGTCTTCCTGTGACCTTTAGTAGTCTATACTACTCTGTGTTTCCTACTGGAGGCTGTAATTGTGAAAGTGTTATTTGTGATTTACCAGTAGATGTAACATCACAATATGTTCTAGGTCTTTCATGTGAAGCCCTAAGCCCAAAAACATAAAATCTAAACCAGAACAAAAAATCTTGTTATCCAGGCAAGTCTGTTTCTCTCCACTTCCCCCACCACCCCTTTTCTTTCCCTCTCCCTTTCCTTCTTTTAGAAAAATACTTTATGATAAAAACACAAATGCACATGAATAGTAACTGAAAAAGCATTGCTTCCTTTTAGAAAACCACTAGGATTTGCATAAACTACTTGACTGTCTAGTAAATGATTATCTGCTCTGTCAGCCCCTGGGGACTTTTAACATTAGGTTGTTTGTATTTTTATAGATAAGGAAAGTTTTAAATTTGAAGGTGGGTGTTTGTTAGATGCTTCAAATAATGATAGTTTGTAAAACCGGTTTTTCCAAAAGTCTTTAAAAAGTCATAAAAACATAACCTCTTCTGTATGTGATAACCACATGAATAAAATTAAAGGCCTTGAAAGATTTTGAATTTGTGCTATGCACAGCCTGTTAATTATTTGCTTTTAGCAAAATTTACATGTGTTAAGGCTAAATACTCAAAATATACCAATCTGAGAATTGGAAAGGAAGTTTAAAGGAATTTCTGTCATCACTTCAAAAGCATCCACGAGGAGGCATTTGCAGAAATATAAAACACAAGCGGCTGCTTCTGTGTGGTACTCGCTTGCTGAAGTAGATTACCCAAGATGATCTGAGAATGAGATTGATATAATACAATGTTAGAATTTTGTTGGGGTCCAATTCTGGAAAAGCAGATTGACATGGACATTTTTGGAACTAAGTCCGTGATAGTAAAATAATAGCCACCTCTGAATTTATTTATCATTTTTTTCTAGCTACTGCAAGGATAATTTATTAAACTTTGGATTGCTGAAACTTGACAGTGTTACAGGTAAATTTGCATAAACCATAACTGATGCTTTTTCCTGTATCTGATTATTAGGTACAGATAGCTTGAAACAGTTTCTTTCATTTTGAGGTACAGAGCTACACATTTTCTTCTCACTCAGTCTTTTACAACCCCGTGTTTTAACCAGGGTTGTAACCCATGAAGAATTATCTTGATTTATCTCTAGGTAACATCACTGCCTTCAAAGTCAGAGGGGTGACAGTCAAAATAGGTTTTTGTGTAGGCAAAGGACAGCATACTAAGACTGATCCATTATCATGATCATGATCATCATGGCTAACATTTCTTGAGGTGCCACATATACTCATTTAATCCTTATAGCAATCTTGTGAGGTACATGTAGCTTCACACCCTTGGGGTCAGATGTATTTCAGAATTTATAATCTTTTAGAGTTCAGAAAGATAATCATATTACACAAAAATCTCCAGTGGGGTCTGGGAAAGCACCTCAAAAGCAAGCCAATTAGTATTTCTGCAGGGAAACATAAATAGTGACACTGAGTAGAATAAAGAAAAGCCATACATACTTTCATGTTAATTCAGATCAGTACTTGCCATCAAATGAGGTTGGGCATCAGCTTACGAAAATCTTTTTTTTAAAATTTATCAAATAAAGTTAATAACAGGTAATGGATTTTTACTCTTATTTTAGAAAAAAATAAGAAACTTGGTGCTTTCTCTGTGTGCTAGGTAGTATTGCAGACCCCCTCCTTTTTATTATCCTCCATGAATTGTACTAGCTACTTAGGCAGTAATTACTCTTCTGCTTTTTTGTAGATAGTCAATTTTCTCAAAGCGATGTAAGAATGACATTTCATACAGAATGAGTGGAATTTAACAAGATGAAATCTAAGTAAAAACAAAGTTCAGACTGTGCAAGTATTGTGGTATTGTGTCTTAGCTGACAGGCGTTTAGTTTGCTGTGTGTTAAATGAACTGACTGTGTAGAGGGGTCATAGCAATGTGAGTGTGATCTTCAGGTACGTAGAAGGAGGGTGGGTTTTGGAATGTGAGAATTAGTGAAATCTCACTGTATCCAGGGCCATTTCTGGAATCTTGTTTTCATTTCCAATGGCGTATTTTAAAGAAAGGAAGCCAGTATAAAATCTTTAACAGGTGGATTGATCAGGAGGATGAAAGGACTTGAAGCCACATCAGGTAAGGCACAAGTAAAGTAATTGGGCAAGTTTATATGAGTATTTTGCCAGATTCTAGCAATATTTGACTACATACCTGTTCAGATAAGTACGGATGCTCTTTGACTTACGATACGGTTATGTCCAGATAAACCCAATCAATGCAAGTTGGAAACATTGTAGGTTTAAAATGCATTTAATACTGTTTACCCTCGTGATCGAGTGGCTGACTAGGAGCTTCGGCATCACCAGAGGGTATGGTAATGCGTATTGCTAGCCTGGGAAAAAATCAAAATTTCTTAAGTTAAGTACCATCTGTAATTTTAACTTGATGTTGATTGACTGCCAGCTCTACTGCAACTTCCTGAGCTGTTAAACACTTGGGGTACAAAGATGAAAAGACACGGGAATTAAGAAGATGAGAATGAGGAAACTGAAGCCAAGGATAACAATTCAGAAACCACGATATGAATAAACTCTGGTCTTTTGAACTAAAGTCTAGTACTCTAGGAACTATCGTATCTGTCCTTTGGGGCCTTGGAATTCTTCCACCTACTCATCTAGCATACTTTCAGAGAGGCTGGTACTGCACGGATCTCTCTAGCTCGTATTCTTCTTTGTTTCGTAGATAAAATGGCCTTGTGAATAGGAATGCTTGTCCACACATCAGAATTGGAGATATGGATGAAGATCAAATGATTGAAGAAGTCTTGGATAAGTTTGTTAATTGTCATGAGCAAACATATGAAGAATTTCTGAGCACTTTTACTCATCTTTCAAAAGGTAAAATGGAGAAATAAGCTTTCATTAGCAGTAGAGATGAAGAACCTTGGCCCCTTCTGGGTCATTGATCCACATTTGTGAGGCTATTGGTTCTTCACTTAGCTGCACATTGGACTCACCTGAGGAACTTTTAGAGTTTATCGATACCATGGCCCATTCTAAATTTTAGTGGGGGCCTAAGAATCAGTAGTTTATAAAAGTTCCTCTGGTGATTCTAATGTGTAACCAAGATTGAGAACAGGGACGTTTCATAATCTCCGACATTATAACACTCTCGAGATACCTGTCTTCATGATTCATGTCTTCTTAACAAGTATAAAAGAAGGGTAGTTATAATGAAAAGAAGGAAAAGTGATCGCAACCTGTTTCTTTTGTTGTGCAAAATAATTGGAATATCAATATCTGCTTTGTTTATACTTCAAAACTGGACCGTGGTTTCGTTTATACTTAAGGGATATGGAGAATTTAGGAATTCTCTAGTTAACTTCAGGACTGTGAACGATCTATTTTGACATAATAACTTGGATCAAATTCACCTTGATAATGCTCAAAACACCTTGGTCTGTAATTTGGGTCCAGGCAGATGCTTGCTTTCTTTGAGCCTAGTGATTTAGTACCATAGTCACTGGACCCAAACATGACAGTATGAATGGCTGAGGGTGGAGTGTAGAAACAGGGTAAAATGGGCAGAATTAGTGCATCTTGGTATGCCAACTGTGTTTGATAATCCAAATTATTTGGGAAATTATTTGTAAAGCGGGCTTTATTTTTGTACTATGGAAGAGTAAGGACTTGCAAGGACTTGAATATTTTAAGGAGGTTATAATATTTTTGTTTTGAGGATAAGAGGGTCTATTCTTTTTTCGAATTTCTGTATGATCATTGCATGCTGAGACAGAAACTGTTGTCCATGTGGCAACTTCATTTTGAGTTCAGTTTTGGGCCCCAAACTGAGCTGAAATAAATGATGATGCAAATAACATAAACTGCATCTCCAAGCACACTAATTTTTTTCCTTTCAAAATATCCCTAGGCGCCAGTTCATATTATAATAAACTAATGACCTGAAAAAATTCCTCTTAAAGCACAAAAAGTTGTGAGTGCAAAAATGCATCTTAAATCAGTAAGCATCCTTTTTTTTCCCCCTGAAACATTTAAATACCTTCTGAAAAACCAAACAGGACTTAGGGACAGGCCTAAGAATTGAATGATAGTCAGAAGAATTGATTGAAGTGAATATGTTATATTCTGTTTTAAGGAAAACCATGAAAGCTATTTCTTCAAAGTTTTCTCCTTCTTTCCAGCCCTCCATTTGTCTTAGTGTTTCGTCGTTTTGCTGATATGTAGTGGAATCTCTTCTCTGTTAAAGTGGTTAGCACCATGCATACTTATGTGCATTTCTTTAGTAAGTTTAGTTTCTCAAGTCCATTACCATTTCCATTGATTGACTGTTCTTTTTAACTTTATAATAGTTATATGCCAGAACGCTTATGGGACTCATTTTCCTTCCAAGAGTGTTAAAAGGGTCAATAATCCTATTAAAAATGTTTCCCTGGAAAAAATTAAACTGTAGCTTTATTGAAAGAAATTCACATTACCACTTCAGACTCTTGGAAAAACAGTTGGAAACTGTTAATATTGTAGCATAATTCTCACTATAGTACATTTATGTTGATCATGTTTCGCAGTTTTTTTTTTTTTAGAGAAGCTCTGTTTTTTTTAAACCGTGGCATATTTGATAAAAAATATAATGTTCTGCCAAAATCTTTAAAGAAACATATTAATTATGAGTTTTAAACAGTTATAATTGAATTTTCAATAGTGTCTTTGGTTCAAGAGAGTAAGACCAAGTTGTAAGATTCGTATTAGAATGTCAGCGTGCAGATTTTGGTTTTATTCATTATCAGTGAAGACATCATTATATTGACATTATTGTGAATGAAGAGACCAAGTTTCAGTCATTGGTGTCTCAGTTTCTTTGTGAATATGATTAATTTACAGGTGTTTTTAGAATATCCATCTAAAGGGAAAAAATTCTTCCTTCTTGTCTGTCACATTTCTATCATTCTTTTTGGTTATAAAAAACCAGATGTGAAAACTTACATTTGATTTTCTGTTAGTGCATTCATTCATTCATTCATTCATTCCTTCTGAGTATCTAGTTATGGTCTAGGTATTATGTTAGTTGCCAAGGATCCAAAAATAAATAAGATATAATTTGTGTTCTCAAGCACTCATAGTCCAGTGAGAGAGAGAAATAAGCAAACAAGGAATTACACTAATGTCTGATAAGTACCATAATGGAGAGAAGCAGAGCTCTGTGAGCTCTCATAGGAGGGCCATTCCGCCCATACTCGAAGGAAGGACAATTAAATCTACCCATTGGAGAGGTGAACCTGGGATAACCACTGGACCAAAACTTACCCTGAGTCCTAACACGTTAAATAGAGTCCAGGAAGGTTTGATAGATGAGAGCTGCATTTGAAAGATGTTAAAGTTCTTCTGTTGGTGATGGTGCTTTTGGATCACAGTTCCATTTGTTTTAGTACTAATACATATATTTATATAAAACAATTTTTAATAGTAGGTTTAAATAATAAGTTTTCCAGATGGAGATGTAGCTTTGCTTTTAGTAAGGTTTAGAGTTATTTCTAAGCTGTTGAAAGGAAAAGGCAGGTTCTTTCGATTTCCTTCCACACCGAGATGATCACAGAATCCGATTTGGGGAGCATTTACTCTCACCTTTTACAATGGTAGTTACTGCCCGTAATGCCATCACACAGAGATCACAGAAATTATATATGTAAGAAGCCAGTGACTTAGAAGTTGACATTCAACCTTTTTACTTCATTATGTCACGTATAAGTAACCTTGGGGCTTTTCAGTAGTTACATCTTATCCCCCATCCTCCCCACACTCCCCTCCCCCTCACACCATTATTGCTCTGATTTTGTGCTTCAGGCTAAATGGTTAATTTCCATTAAAGTTGCCCATTTTACCAACTATTCAGCTTTTAGTCTGGAAATTGAAATGAATATACTGTGGTTTTATGATGAAATCTTAAATAAATCTTTTGTTTTTCGTTCTCTAATTTCATTCTTAAAATACTTAGGATCCAGTTTCCCAAGCAATTCTACCAGTTTCTATATTACCACTTAAAACAGCTTTTTATTCACTGCAATATTTATCTGCTTTAACCTGTTTTCTTATGTCTAGATCAAAGATATGTTTTCAATTTTGATGTGTAATTTTGTTTTTAGTTTTCTTCATGCTATTCTCATTTCACTAGTAATACTTTTTGCTTTTAGCATTTTGTCGTTCTTTCCGCATATCTTTGAAAAAAATTCCTGTCAGCTCAACTTTCTTTTCTCCCTTCACACTTGTTAATATTTGAGGTAAATGCCCCCTTAAGTAGAACATTGTGTGTCTGAATGCTTAGGACAAAGGACTGTGCCTGCGGCTTCATGTGCTGGTGGTAGTGGTCTGACCTTTGATTGTTCCAGACTCTAAGTTTCAAAGCCTCTAAATAGCTTTCAGTCTTCCTTGGATTTTAATAATCTTATGTAATCATAAGAGAGTTTAATCTAAATTTTTTGCTTTATTCACATTTAGTTCTTTAAGGAGATATGCCAATAGTCTACCATCATTACAAATCTCAGGGATGTATAGTTATCATTGTGATTTGTGATCATTAAGCCTACACTGTCTGATATAGGAGCCACTAGCTACATGTGACTACTGAGCATTTAAAGTGTGGCTAGTGCTCCCTAGGAACTGAGTAAAACTGATACTGAATTCAGTTATTGAAAAACTTTTAAATATGTTTGGGACAACTTGTTTTTTTTTAAATGTAACTTAATAGTAAATTTTTTTTAATGTAAATTTTATGAACTATAAATACAGATCAGATATTTCTGATGAAAATTTTGCATTTTAATTGAGATATGCAATAAGTAATTTGAAGAATCTTAAAGACAGTATAAAAATAGGAAGTAAAATATCCCAATAATATTTTTGACTACATTTGAAATGACAATATTTTGGAAAATTGCCTTAAAATATATTACTAAAATTAACTTCATGTTTTTTTAAACTTTAAATATGGTTGCTTGAAAATTTTAAACTGCACACGTGGCTTACATTATATTTCCAGACACTAACCTGGGCTTATTATGTGAGACACTCTATAGCAAGGGGTCGAGAAATTTTTATATTCATAAGTCTCTCCACGTAATTCTGATGCACCACCAGTTTAGACTACAAATTCTGATAATATGCACTCGCTTAAATGGTAGGACTATCTATACTCCTTTAAGATACCAGATAATTGCCCAAAGTTTGTTTCTGTTTCAATTGTAGAATTGGAAGAGACAGTCCAGTGCTCTTTATTTTAGATTCTCACTAAGCATTTATCTTGAGTAATTTATTTAATTGTCACAAGGATACAAAGAAATAGCTATTACTGTTCCTTTTTATAGCTCAGGGAGATGAAAGTTGTTGTAGATTAGCAATTTGCTTGAGGTCTGGTCAAGCATTCCAACTCCAGACATCTGCCCCTCCTCTGTACTGCTGTACCCCTCCCGCAGAAACATCTGGGATTGTGCGATTATAAGAAAACTAGTCTAAAATTATTATTGATAAGCAGCTGACATTTGTAATGTACTGAATATTATGCTAAGCATTTTACCTGTATCATCTCAATTAGTTCTTATAATAATCCAGTGAAATTTTTTTACATTTTAATCTTTATTATTTTTGTTATCCCAATTCGCAGATGAGGAAACCAGGGCTTAAGGTTAAGTAACTTGCTATTATGGACTGCATTCGTTTCTTTAAACTTTATACATTGAAGCCATGCTTTCCAATGTGACTGTATTTACGGTTAGGATCTTTAAAGAGGTAATTGAGGTCATTAGGCTGGGGTCCTAATCCAAAATGACTGGTGTCCTTAGAAGAAGAAAGAGACATACCAGGGAAGTACACATGGAGAGAAAAGGCCA